TGTTTTGACGCCCATACCGGACGGGGTATGGGGACGGCCCGTTTCACCCTCATACCGGACGGGGTAATGAGGTTTATAGTTTGGCGCCCATACCGGACGGGGTATGGGGACGGCCCTGGAATATGATTTCAAGTGTTAAGGGTTAACGGGTAGCGGGACCCCTATGGATCCCCATGGATACTAGTGGGCTGGTAAACGAGGAAAAATATGTTGTGTAATGATTGAATTACGATAGGCTTGATAAGTATTATGTTATACAGTTTATATATGATTTCATGATGATGATGATGTTATTGTTTTCGTATATTGTTTTTATGAATTTCATCGAGGTAAGTGAATGATAAAGGTTTTATTATTGATAAAAGGATTTGTTGTAAATTATGCTCCATTGGTCTTTTTGTGTTTTCTATCCACCTTTACCTCCGTGACGGTGAGATATCGTGATGTCTTTACTGGGCTAGTGTAGCTCATTCCTTATTTAATCATTTCAGATCAGGAAGACATTGTTCCCGAGCCGGTTCCGCAGGAGGACGACGAAGGGGACGCCTAAAGACTCCATAGTCATACTCGTAGCTTTTACTTTCAAGTTTCTTCTTTAGATAGTTTAATCTTTTATATTGTGAGCACGTTTTTGGTTTTAGTGTAAGGGATGTTAATCGAATTTTTGACTTCGCTTCCGTATTTGATATTTTTAATATACATTTCATTTTAAATTTCCGGGGCCGTTACATCTCAGCTCCGTTCGGCTGAGGTAATGCCCATGATAGGCTTTCCCTATGTACCGGGTCCGTACACCATTCTATAGGGTATCCGATAAACCTTTTATATATATATATTACATGTTATCAACCAATCCCAATTACATACCAACACCTCATATTCATAAATCAACATTAAGTCATGTAAATAAGCGATACGTAAATCAAGAAACAATGATTAGGACATTGGTTGGGAACAAATCAACATATGAGGGCAATACAGTTAGATAAACTAAATAATCAAGAAAATAATCTAAAACTAGTATTTCAGAGCACACAATATAACAGTAAACATATTATGCAGTATAAGAAAAAATAAATAATAAATCAGGATAAATATGCACTGACCAGTTTCAACTATACTAGTGACCTGTAATTAATTTAAAGATTTTCTAATTTTCACAAAACACAACGATATTGATTATTGGACTATAATTTACTATAAACAAAGAAAATGGTGAGAGATTCTTATTCCGAATCGGTGTCCGAAATACTGTACTTTTTATTGCTTATCTTGGCGGTCCCTGAGTTTTCTGAATTTTTCCTGCGAAAATTAAAAATACCCGTCACGTATCCAAAAATATCACAAAAGGCCAAAATAGGTGTTCTAAAATTTTTTCAGCCAATTTTAGGGTTTCAGCACGGCGATGACGCCGTGCTTCGGTGCCAGCTCTGTCGCCCACGGTGGTGGTTCTCCTTGGTCTAGCCGTTTTTCGCCAGTTTAGTCCGATTTGGCTAGTTTTACATGTAAACCTACAAAAAAATAAGTTATGAGGCCTCAGTTGGCCAGAAAGGGCAAAAAATCGAAACTTTAAATGCGGAAGGTCTCCAGGTACAGCGGCTCTACTTTCCTCCTTCACGGTTGGGTTTCTCCTTCGGCTAACCTATACCAGAAAAGGATGAGAAACCCGATGGTTAGAAAATCGAGAGAAACGAAAAATGGGAAGGGGGTTATTGGAGCAGTTTTCAGGTTGTAACTGCGACAGCTCGGCTGAGCTCCACTCGTATTTTTCAGCTCACCCACTGCCCTTTTTGCTTCGATATGGGTGTGGGAAAGCTCGAAATTTTAATTTTGAGTGGAAAAGATAAAATTTTACCTCCTTCGGCGTCAATGATAGCTCCGGTGTGGCTACAATGACATCCCTTCGGCCGCCCTCCTTCTTCTTCTTCGGTCAGGGTTGTCAGCTAGGATTTTTGGGGCTGACTGAAGAGAGGTATTTAAACCTCTATTCCCTTTTATCTTAGCTGTTCATCCACGTCAACATGGAGCGAGGAGAGCCGTATGATTGTTGCTTGTTTATGTCGATCGTGTGTGTGAATCTAGACCGTCCATTGAGATCAATCTCGTCCATCTGATCGCGTCTGAAGAGAAAACACATATGAATTGTTCGTGCGCACAGGATGTGATCTGGGCTGTTGGTCACCTAGACACGCGGATTGCCCGTGTGGAGTCGATGTCAGCGTTTCTGCCACGCGGTGCGTTTTGACTCATCGTGGCTGCTGGCAGGGCCGTCCCACATGGCCATATTTGTTTTTTGCAATTTTACCCCTGTTTTCAAAATTTCTTTGAAAAACATCTCCCTTATTCAGAGTCTCATTCTTTTTTCTCAGAATTATTTTCAATTTTATCTATAATCGTACTTTTCTAAAAAATTTCACAAAATTAAAATAAAATAAGATTTAATTATTTATATATATATTATTATTAATTGAAAAAAATTAACCCGGGCCTAAGTGTTACATGGTTAATATCAAATAGAGATAACAAATGAATTGGTTTAAAATTAGGTTATGAAAAATAAATATTGATTGTAAAGTTAAAAAAAACTGCATGATATATGTAAAACATTAGAGTGATTGAAGTTATTTTTATTTAGAAAGTAAGTATTGATTGCAAAAAATAAACAATTATTTTTCCTAAAAAAATTAATATTTATTATAAATATTACATAATTTATGTCATTATATATTGTTAATTTTAAATGTACATGAAAAATGTATTCAAATAAACTTGTTATATATATATATATATATATATAAAGAATATAAAAAGTTAACAATGATTTTTTTAATCTTTTTAAGACTAATTTTTAGAATATAATAAAATTTTTTGACTAAACATGATAATTGAAATATTAAAAAACATCTTATAAATATGAGATTAGAGATCTCACACATAATCTATGTATGAATTAAATTATTTGATTGATCACATAAACAATAAAATTTTATTTTTTAATTAATATTATACATTTAATGATATGAAAATCAGTTTGAGTAATTCATCTCCTTATTTTAGTAATTACAGATAAAAAAAATGTTAAAATTATAGAAATTTAATTGAAAAGAATCAGTTTATTATTATAAATAACTATAAACTTATAAAAGTAAATATAAAATTTTACTGTTTTGGCTTTTTAAGGGTGCGGGAAGTACTCCTATAAGTCTTATTGGGAATAATTTATTTTCGAGCAATAAAAAATAAATTTAGTATCGATATTTGAAATTGGTTTAAAACTATCTTGACCAATCTGTAAATTAAATATATCATTATACTTTGTTAGTCTGTTAATTAAATTTACTGAAAAATAAAATAATCCAAACCACGACCAGACCAGCGCAGCTCTATGATTCAATTATGTTGTTGTGCCAATCGGGACCATCCAGTAAAAAAACCGGATCGAACCGGATTAAGCCGGTTGAGCCAACCGGTGAACGTATTGCCCGAGCAAAACCTGGCAGCTCAAAAAATGAGGATACAGTGGTTGCCACGTGGCATATCTCACCCCACATTACTATGGCATTCTCGTAATAATAATTATTCTCCAGGTCAAACCAACCCAAGAATATTAAAAATAAAAAATTCCAAGCAAAAAAGACCCTCAAATTCTGCCGGGTTAACTCGAGCCAACCCTGTTGCCTGCTTCGAAGCAGACAACGAAAGAGACGGCATCTAACGGTAACGGCAAATACCTAACGGCCCCCGTTACCCCGTATCACACGCATACCGATGCTTCCCACCTGAAAAAATTATTTAAAGATCCCTCCCCCGGCCGTTATGAAGCGGTGAGCCAGTAACATAATAGCGCAGAGCCTTTCCGTTAAAGTCCAACCATCTTGCTAACCAGCTCCTCCGGTTAGATCCCAACTACGGTTAGTTAGGTTAGCGTTACACTGGCAATATACAAATACAGAGCAAGCAAACAAGGTATTTCAGAGAGAGAGAGAGAGAGAGAGAGAGAGAGAGAGACAGAGACAGAGACACAGTTAAAGCAATAAGAGTAGCTGCGTACAATAAGACGCGCGTAAAGCGGTTTTGGGATTCACTGTGATTCTCTCTGTGAGAAAATCTGAAGCAGCAAGGAGAAAGCGGTCTTGGAAGCTAAGGAAGGTGGTTTTGTAACGTTTGTAGAGAAAGATTGGTGGTTTTGCGTTACCGTTTTGGATCTCGCAGTCGTTACGTGCAGAGAAGGAGAGAGAGAAGTTGTGTGTAAAGCGTGGTAGAGGAATCCAAAAGTCGCTGTTTTCTTTTGGGATAAAATCGTAATAAAGGCTTGTTAATAATCGTCATTATTGTGTGCTTATGACAATGATTATCTCTGTATATAATGAGTTAAAGTAGGGAGAAGAAAGAGAAAGGGCTGTTAATCGAGCTTTTTTGAGTTTTTTCTTGATTTGGTTTTGGTGGCTGTTGACTTCTGGAGTACTGGTGGACTGGTGGCGGAGGTGTTGGTTAAAGTGATGGCTACCCGGGGAGGGTCGTTTTCGCAGCCAATTGGTGTTTCGCCTGAAGGTGAAAAAAGTGATGGCTGATTTTGATGTTTGATTTTATTTTTGACATACTTTTCTTCATTTTCCGGGAAATTTTTTTCATATCTTTCATCTCTGGGATTATAGGTTGTGGAGGAGATGATTTATATACGGAGCTATGGAAGGCGTGTGCAGGTCCGCTTGTTGAGGTTCCCCGAGCTGGCGAGAAGGTCTTCTATTTTCCACAGGGGCACATGGAGCAAGTGAGTTTTTGTATTGCTTTTCTTTACTTCTTTGTGTTTCAGAGCGAAGCCTTTGTTTTTGGATATTTCCTTTTTTCAGGGGAAATTAATTGGTAATAATGAATAGGAATATGTCGTTAGTCACTTAATTTCTTCGAAAATTCTCTTTTATTTTTGGCGTGAAACTGAAAATTTCTATTTTTGGGGGTTTGTAGTTAGAGGCATCGACAAATCAGGAACTGAATCAGAGGACGCCATTATTTAATCTTCCTTCGAAGATTCTGTGTCGTGTTGTTCACATTCGGCTGCTGGTATTTCTTTGTCTGATCACAATTTTTTTGCTTCCATTTTTCTCTTTCGTTCCCTTTTTGGTTGCTGAGAAAAAGGATTTTTTTCCGTTATTGGAAATGGATACCAAGATCGCACATTCTACGCTGCTGTTTTTGTTGCAATGAGATTTGTCTTTTAGTGGTTTTTGCGTTAGGGTTATTTAATGAATTTACATACATAGATTCAATCGATGACGCACAGCTATTTGAAAAACCTCTTATCTCTCTATTTCAGGCAACTTTTCAGCAACCAAACAGACCATTAAAAACATTACTAATAGTGTTTAATTTAAGGTTTCATTTGTTCATTCTGTTTGTAGGCGGAGCAAGAAACAGATGATGTTTATGCACAAATTACTTTGCTTCCAGAGCCAAATGTAAGAACAATTTGATTCCCTGTCTAATTTCAACCTTGTCCTGAGAAGAAACAAAAAATTGAACAACTTCCCCTGTGTTTATGTCTAATGGTTTGACTAAATTTGAAACCTCTAGCAAACTGAGCCTACAAATCCTGATTCGTGCCCTCCTGAACCTCCAAGACCAACTCTTCACTCTTTCTGCAAAGTTTTAACCGCATCAGACACAAGCACCCATGGTGGGTTCTCTGTTCTGCGAAAGCATGCCACCGAATGCCTTCCTCCACTGGTACTTGACTTGTTTTTGAATTTTCTTTGTGGGATTGGAGGGTATCCAGTCATAATTAAGTTAGTCTCTTTACTTTTGTCAGGACATGACCCAGTTGACCCCAACTCAGGAGTTAATTGCTAAGGATCTCCATGGATATGAATGGCGATTCAAGCATATCTTCAGAGGTAATGAGCTATCTTCGTTGAGCTTTATCTTTTGATGCTGGCTTGTCTTTTCCCAGCTTTTAGAAGAATTAGCTTATTTATTAAGTCTTTATCAGTAGGAGCAAACTAGATCTTATGGGATAAACATATAATAGAAAAGTCAAATTGGTAACTGAACTATTTTCACTGTTATTCAATTTCTCTTTATTAGGTCAACCACGGCGGCACTTGCTGACAACAGGATGGAGTACGTTTGTCACATCTAAAAGATTAGTTGCTGGGGATTCCTTTGTATTCCTTAGGTATGTGTTTCATCTTCAACCTTGTTCCCACTTACTCTTTTCTGTTTCCTGATTCATTTGTCATGTATGAGGCAAATATAGCTTCCGTTCAGGCTTTAATCTATCTGAATAAATGGTTATCTAGGGGAGAGAATGGAGAGTTGCGAGTTGGGGTGAGGCGTGTTGCTCGTCAGCAGAGCAGCATGCCATCATCAGTGATTTCAAGTCAAAGCATGCATCTGGGAGTGCTTGCAACTGCATCTCATGCTGTTTCGACCCAAACTCTCTTTGTAGTTTATTATAAGCCGAGGTATGATAATTTATTAGCAAGTAATTAAAGGTGCAAAATACAATGGAGTTGCATTTTATATTTATCTTAACTTACGTTTTCCTTGATTCAATTAA